AAAAGGTAATTTGATGCCTACCCAAGCTACAGAAAACAGTAGCTGGAAAAGATAATTCTATATTATTTTTATATCTAAGAAGTTGTAAATAGGTAGAAAGTCTGTAGTTGCTTTCACCCAAAGACAGGGTAAGAGGTTTAAAGCATAAAGTTGAATATATGTGTGTGTTTTTTGTGTATGTGTGTATAGTGTACTGGCTCTTTATTTCATGCTATCATCTTTAGTAAACTGAAATTTACAGATGACTCGAAAAGTTTTTATACCTAGTCTTTCCCACATTTTTCATAGATGTCTTTCTTCTTCCTACCACAGGGCCTTTGCTCATGCTACCCTGTGCTTGGTCTTTTTCATTTAATTAATGCCTACTTATCCTCTAGACCTCAGCTCAAAGGTAATTTCCTCAGAAAAGTCTTTAGAATAATTCTTAATTCATATCTCCCTCTCTTCCCCTTCCATGTTCCCTCCACTGCCCTAACACACACACACACACACACACACACACACACACACACACACACACACACACACACGGCTTTCATATATGCTGTTCTCTCTGCATAAAATACTCTTTCAAGGCTGGGTATGGTGGCTGATGCCTGTAATCCCAGCACATTGGGAAGCCAAGGCAGAAGGACCACTTGAACCCAGGAGTTTGAGACCAGCCTGGACAACATAGCAAGACCTCATTTCTATAAAAATAAAAAAATTAGCCTGGCATGGTGGTGTGCACACTTGTAGTCCCAGCTACGTGGGAGGCTGAGGCAGAAGGATCACCTGAGTCCTTGAGTTTGAGGTTACAGTGAGCTGTGATTATGTCACTGTACTCCAGTCTAGGTGACAGAATGAGACCTCAACTTAAAACAAACAAACACACAAGCACTTTTCCAAATCTTTTTTCCTGGTTGCTACCTATGACTCAAAATTCTAGTTGCAACTTAGAAGTCACTTCTGGGATATTATCCTTGACAAGCTCTTATACTCCCATTCTGGGTTGAGTGCTTGTCCTCTGTGCTTCCATGGCTCTTATCAAAGCACTATAACCAACTCCTTATTGGATCTGAGGGGATCATGGGGACCCCTGAATTTGTACCTAGTCAAAGTGCAATAGCCTGGGGACTCCCTGAACTTGCAGCAGTATCAACACTGGGGATAGCAGTGGAGAAGTGAGACCATACCTTGTGAGGTCTGCACTAACTTCAAGTGATTAGTGCCAGAAATAAACTGCATGGCAGTGAACTCTACTGGAGTTGAAAAAGAGTACATATCTTTACACAAAAATATGTTCATGAATGTTCATAGCATTATCCATTTTAGCCAAATGTCCATCTACTGATGAATGGAAATATAAAACATGGACTATCCAAATGATGATTTTTCAGCAATAAAAATATCAAATACTAACATGTTACCACATGGATTAAACCTTGGACAGACCATGCTAAGTGAAAAAAAGCCAGAAGCAAAAGATCACAAATTATATAATTCCATTTATTAAAAAATGCCCAGAGCTAGGCTCGGTGGCTCAGCCTGTAATCCCCTTTGGGAGGCTGAGGTGAGTGGACTGCCTGAGTCCGCGGGTTCGAGACCCGCCTGGGCAACTTGGCGAGAATTCATCTCTACAATAAATAAAAAAATCAGCCGAGCATGGTAGTGCGCGCCTGTAATTCTGGCTACTCAGGAGGCTGAGGCGGAAGGATCGCCGGAGCCCAGCAGGTCGAGGCTGCAGTGGCCAGGAGCAGCCACTGCACTCCAGTCTGGGCGACAGAGTGAGACTCCAACTCAAAAAAAAAATGCCCAGAACGGGCAAATCCAAAGAGGCAGAAAGTAGATCAGCGGTTGCTAGGAGTTGGTGGAGGGAAGAACTGAGAAGTAGGGGGTTTCATCTTCTAGATAAAAACATTATGGAATTAGATAGTGCTGGTAGTTGCACAATACTGTGAACCACAAAATTGTGCACTTTAAAATGGTGAAAGTTATCTCAAATGAAACCCAACAATCTAGTCTAAATTAATGTCAACTTAAATTTAGTATACCAAAACTCCAAAATAGCTTTGTTCTCTCCCTTGCCTTTGCACTATTATGCATCCTTATAGTCTATAAACTTATCAACACAGTTTTATAATTACTGCTTTATTTAAAGAAAAAAGTTATAAACAAAATGACATTTCTACTGACTTTTATTTTTATTTATTTATTTGAGTCAGGGTCTTATTCTGTCATCCAGACTGGAGTGCAGTGGCATGATCATGGCTCACTGCAACCTTGAACTTCTGGTCTCCTGAGTAGCTGGGACTAAGATGCACAATACCATGTCTGACTAATTTTTTAATTTTTTTGTAGAGATGAGGTCTCGCACTTCTAAGCTCAAACAATCCTCCCACCTCGATTTCCTAAAGTGCTGGGGTTATAGGCATGAGCCACCATGCCCGGCCTCTACTGACTTTTACACTTACCTATGCAGTTACCTTTACTGGTGCTCTTTATTTCTTTGTGTGGATGCAAAATATTGACTACTGTTCTTTTCTTTCAGCTTGAAGACATTCTTGAATATTTTTTATAGGACAAGTCTGCTTGTGACAAATTTTCTCCGTTGTTTATCTTGGAATGTCTAAACCTTTTTCACTTTTGAAGAACAGTTTTACTGGAAACAGAATTCTTAGTTGACAGTCCTTCTTGCAGCACTTTGAACATGTCCCACTGGCCTCATAGTCTTCTAAGAGTAGTTAGCTGTGAGTACTATTGAGGATCCTTTCTACATGAGGATTCACTATTTTCCTGCTGCTTTTAAGATTATGTCTTTGGCTTTCGACTGGTGTGTACTACTTTGAGTCTATCCTACTTGGAGTTTGTTGAGATTCTTCAATGTGCAGATTAAAGTTTTTCATCAAATTTGGGGAATTTTTGGCTATTATTTAATCAAATATTCTTTCTGTTCTGTTCACTCTCTTGCTTCTCCTTCTGGAACTCCCATTATTGTATGTTGATATACTTGATAATGTTCAACATGTTCCCATGCTCTATTAATTTTTCATTATTTTTTCTTTCCATTCCTCAGATGGGATAATCTCAAGCTATGTAACTTCAAGATTGCCAAGCCTTTCTTTTGCCAATTAGTTTCAGCTATTAAACTTTTCAACTCCTGAATTTCTATTAAAAATAATTTCTACCTTATTAGATATTCTCTATGTGATTAGACATTGTTTTCATACTTTAATTCTTTACACATGATTTCCTTTATTTTTTGTAACATATTTATAACAGCTGATTTAAATCTAGTAGGAAGTCCAGTGAAAAATTTCCTCAGAGACAGTTTCTATTAACTGCTTTTACTTTTTTCTGTGTATAGGTCATACTTTCCCGTTTCTTTGTATGTCTTGTAATATTTAGTGAAAACCAGACATCTTAAATAATGTAATGTGACAACTATGGAAATAAAATTCTTCTCTTCCCCAGGATTTGTTGCTGTTACTGTTTGTTCATTGACTTTCCTGGGATTATTCTGAAAAGTCTGTCTCCTTTGTTGAATGTGGACTCTGAAGTCAATGTTAGATTAGTTTAGTAGTCAGCTAATGGTTGGAATTATTATTATTTTTTTAATGCCTTGAATCAGTAAGTTTCCCAGTCTTTGCTGGGGGGCTCTCTCTGTATGTTGTGGTACATCATCAATGCTCCAGCAAGCAATTTATAGCTCTGCTTTAGTCCTTACTTCCTACTTGTGGATAGCTCTCAATCAGTTAGAGGTGAAAATTAGGGCCTTCCCAGTTCTTTCCCGGGCATGTGGACAGCCCTAAACAAGTGTGTGACCTTCTAGATTCTCAGAAATATGTTGGAGCTTTTCAAAGACTCATATGGACATTCCATTCCCCAGATTTTCCTTTGGAGTTTGGTTTTTTGTCAGCTTTTTATTACCCTCCAAGTAGTAACAACATCTCAGGTACATGCCATGTTAAACAGTTGCTGCTGATTGTTTTTAACAAATGCCCTGGGGATAGAATCTGCTATCAAACAGGTGAAAATTTCAATCTCAGTTTTGCCACTAACTTGGGCAAGTCATTTAATCTTTCTAAGTCTGCTGCAGCAGAAAAAGAATTCAGCCTACCATTTGGGTTTGTGTGAGAATTAAATAAGATAATGAGATAATACCTGAAGGCAAGTAGAACTATAAGCACTAAATAACAATTACATGTTTTCAGGAAAGGAAATTAGATATTTTTGTTTTGGTTAAAATATACATACATAAGATAGTAGAAAACACAGTAATTTAACACAGTAGTATACTCATGAAACTCACATTCTAAAATAAATAGGGTGACATTTGATGGTTGCTAAGGCTATTAGTCATAAAAAGCACTTAGGAAATTACCCCCCTGCTCAGCTGTTTTGGTGTACCATTCAGGTTGAAGACTTATTCACAAGGCAAGTTCAGACTTGCTGAAGTAAAAGCTCTGGGGATGGAGTTTATATGAATAGTAATGCTAAAAACCTTGGGATTGAGAAGGCTTTGTTAAAATGATTAAATCACAAATGTTTTGTTACATAGCAAATAAAAAACACAATCATTAACCTTAAAGTTTGATTTTCTTTTCCCTTACATCCTACTAGCTTTTTGCTCTATCCCCTATTTAAAAGACAACAATTACCAGCTGTTTGTAAGCAAATGTAGCTCAGAGGCCATATACCTCATTTTACAATTGACTAAACCATACCCAACATGACCCTCTCATTATGGCTTATTTTGTCAGTTCTTGGTCCCTAAACTGGTCTTAGATCTAATCCCATAAAGACACTAAACACAAACTAACAGTGGATATCTATTTAAAAAGCTGCTTTATTGACAAGCACAACTGATGCTGGGTGGAGTGCAGCACAGAACGTGTGGATTTTTTGGCTTAACTAGTGTGGCTAGCAAAGTTTTAAAACAAAGTTTATTAAAGAAAGAGGAGGGGAGCTTCTTCCTCAGTGCTGGTTAACGAGGTGGCTGCCATCTCCTAACCGGCATCATGGCTGCCCTCAGACCCCTGGTGAAACCCAAGATGGTCAAAAAAAGGACCAAGAAGTTGATCCAGCACCAGTCAGACCGATGTGTCAAAATTAAGTGTAACTGGTGGAAGCCCAGAGGTATTGACAACAGGGTGTGTAGAAGATTCAAGAGCCAGATCTTGATGCCCAACATTGGTTACGGGAGCAACAAGAAAACAAAGCACATGCTGCCTAGTGGCTTCCGGAAATTTCTGGTCCACAATGTCAAGGAGCTGGAAGTGCTGCTGATGTGCAACAAATCTTATTGTGCTGAGACTGCTCACAACGTTTCCTCCAAGAATCGCAAAGCCATTGTAGAAAGAGCAGCCCAGCTAGCCATCAGAGTCACCAATCCTAATGCCAGGCTGTGCAGTGAAGAAAATGAATAGACAGCTCATGTGCACGTTTTGTGTTTAAATAAAACCATAAAAACTGCCATCTGGCATTTTCAAAAAAAAAAGAAGAGAGGAGAGATAGAGAGACATGCCAGAGCTGGCACGGGCAAGAGAAACCACACTTTTTGCTTTTGACAACAGGCTTGATATGCTTTTACAGTGATTGATATGCTAAAGAGGGTGGCTCAGGTAACCATCACCTCCAAGAGACTGACATTTTGGCCTCTGATGGGTGCAGGGGTGGTCTTATAATCATTTCTACAGCCTTTTGATTCCATGTCGGGGGAACTACCTTGTTGAAGTTTTCCTTTGGTGAGCTGAGGGGGTGGGGAGGACTGGGAATTCACATTCCAGCCCGCAGGGCTGGTTTAGCCTGCTGCAGGAAGTCTGGATGTGTTCTAAAACCTGCCTATAAGAAATTTATCTATGCCTAACCTGTACTAGCTATGCTGCTTCACAATACGCTACCAGAATCTGCCCTCGCCGTGACTCTACCAATCATTGAAGCTCTTAACATGTAATGTATGAAGAACTCATTAAAGAAAAGCTTTATCACAATATTTAAACTATCCGGTGTGTAGAAAATATCTGGAAGAATATCCGTCATTCTGCTAGGAGTGGCCTACTCTAGTTGAGTAGAATTGAAGGTGAAATGGAGAGTGGAAGGTGAGAACCTTTGTACTTTTGACTCTATCTTATCTAAGTGTAGATAAATGCATACAATTCTGTCCTTAAGCATTTGCTTTATATTTCAAAATTCTAAAATGTTTATAGTATACATTAAATTTAAATAATATGTACTAATTGCATTTATATTATACACTAAAATCTCTCAAGCATGCACAGATTTAAAGCACATACTCTAGATCTAAAATAAATTAAGAAATGGCAAACAAATTAGAGTAAGCCAAAGTAAATCAGGTAGAGAGCTAAAATATAAATGACAATGTCTACATGTTCTATTCCATTTCAGTTAGGGTATCATGAAAAATTCCTATGGAGGAACCTGATAGATCAAACTGGATACTTATTGTTTCTTCTCTAATTGATTTGGCAGAGGAAACCCATTTATTTCACCTGAATGAATAATCTCCATGTTTTGTATGTAGAACTGAGCTAGCTTACAGTGATACTGGTAAACAGAATAAAAGTCAAACAAATTTGGTAGGTCAAATAATTTTTGTGGGTAGGAAAGTCCTATAAAATTACTTGTAAAAGGATTGTAATGAAGTGGCTGAACATTAACGACTCCACAGCCTCATAGAAAAGGTTCACCTATGGATGATCCAAAAAGAAATAAGCAATACAGTAGAAAACAATTGCTCTCAATAATACAGAGATTGGCCGAAAGCAGTCATAAAATTAGGGAATGTAGAGCAGAGAATACTGAAGCCCAGAGAGATTAAATGATAAATCCAAGGATACAAAATAACTAGTAGTGCTGGGACTAAAACCTAGGTTTTTAATTACCTGCTTCAAAACTATCCCTACCACATGATGTTAACTTCCTTGGACATCGTTCATTGAGTAAAGAAAATAAATAATATTCCTAAAAATACCTCTAGGAACATTCAGATTTATATTAGAGTAGGTTTAATTACAATTTTGCAAGCACAGTGATAGTAAGTCTAAGATAAACTTTCATGGAGGTCCAAAACATATACAAAGAGGGAGATTGTCATTTTTGGATTCCTCTTGTCAGTTCACAGGAATGACTTCCCTGGGTTTTGTTTACTATGAAACATAACCTTCTCCCATTCTAGCCACTCTTTCTCATAAATGTTCACGGAATATCCTGCTCTCAGCTCATTCTCCTTAAAGAAACATTCTAAATTTCTTTGTCTAAAGAACAAAAAGATTCCCTGCATCAACTTTAGGCTCTTATCCTATCTCCAAGGTAACTTGGCTAATTATAGTCTATTCTCAAACATCAAAGTGAACATTCATATTTGTCTCACTTAATTGTATTGTCCAAAAAATGTGCACCACCACCTTATAAGACAGGAATTTGTAGAGCAAATTATACTAAATAAATAACTTTCCTAAGGGTTTAACGACGGTTCCATTTTATGATTTCCAGGTCTATCAAAATAACCACTCTTTTCCAGCTAGTTGATATCCTAATATTAAACAACTTTAAGTCATTTCTCTAATAAATTGTAATCTCTTAACAATTTACAGTAAGTACAGTAATTCTGACTAAATAAAATTCTAAACTATAGTATCAATTATCATATATCTCATATATGACAATTATCACAATTACATATGATATCAAATACATATGATAATTGTCATATATATATGTTGTCTTAACAGGGTAACGGTATATTAGAAGTTTGAGTTTAGGTTCTGGATTAAGATTCAACTGCAAGTCCACTACTTACTGGCAGTGAGAGTTGGAGCAAGTCAATTAATCTCTGTGTACCTTAGTTTGCTCAGTAAAATGCAGAATGACCCCTCAGTACTATATGGATTAAGAAAGAGAACTTATATAAAGCACTTAGAACAAATGCCTGACACAGAGAAAGAACCTGATGTTAAATATTATTAACAATATTACTATTTATTTATTTAGAGTTGGGGCCTCACTCTATCATCTAGCCTGGAGTGCAGTGGTTGACCATGGCTCATTGAAGCCTTGACCTCCTGAGCTTAGGCGATCCTCTTGCCTCAGCCTTCTGAGCAGCTGGGACTACATGGCATGGCTATCGTACCCAGCTAACTTTTTTGTTTTTTATTTGTAGAGATGAGGTCTTATTAGGTTGCTCAGGATAGTCTTGAACTCCTGGGCTCAAGCAATTCTCCTGCCTTATCCAATATATTGCTATTTTAATAGACATACTTTTACTTCAAAAGTAAACATAGTCTGTGGGATTCCATTTTCCTCTTTTTTTTTTTTGAGTTGGATTCTCACCCTGTCACCCAGGCTGGAGTTCAGTGGCATGCACACAGCCACTGCAGCCTTAACCTGCTGGGCTCAGGCGATCTTCTCCCCTCAGCTTTTCAAGTAGCTGGAACTACAGGTGTGCACTACCATGCCTGGCTAATTTTTTGATTTATTGTAGAGATGAGGTCTTGCCAAGTTGCTCAGGCTGGTCTTGAACCCGTGGGCTCAGAAAATCTTCTCACCTTGGCATCCCAAAGTGCTGGGATTACAGGCTTGACCCACTGCACCCAGCCTCCATTTTTCTCTTAAATTTACTGTTCTCTCAGTACCTTTGAGTTCCTTGCTTTCTTGGACTTAGATAAAAACAATCATAAGTCTGTGTTCAATTTATGTAGATCTACTTTAAATCAATCAAAACTGTAAAAGTTTAGAGCCTTGAAAATATGAAGAAGTTTATCTCTGAGACAAGTGTGTATTCTGTGCCATCAGTATGGCCTCTTACAAAGAGGATGAATTTAAGAGCGGAGAGGTTTGGAGAAAGATGACAGTTCGGATTCTGACAGCTGCTCTTTCATTTAATCTTTAAGAGCTTGTGTACTCAGTGTAGTTAAATTTGGCCTCAGATTAAAAATGTAAGGTGATATCTTCCTCAATTTCAACATCAGAAAACACTACCTAAGGTTTTGCAGAAATATATAAAATCAATCCCTCATTAATTAACTTATTATTTGTGGTAGCTGTGATCTCCTAAGCAAAGAGATGGTGGTCTGGGAAAACCACACATTAGAAAAGGTCTCTGATGAATCTGAGTAGCCTGGCACCATGCCATAAGACATGCCTCCTTTTTCTGTCCAAGTCTGGTAGGCACAGTGTGCTACGCCAAGCTTTTATTCATTCAGCAAATACTCACTGAGCATACAATCTGTGTAATACACCGTGGGATGTATGAAGAACACAGACATGATCCCTGTATTTTAGGAACTTATAGACAGAGAACCAAGATGCCCATCCACAGAAAGTTAAAAAGCACAATGCATAGCAGGGTGTAATTTAATGTCAAAGGAACTGTGCTGTTTTGTGGGACTAGCAATCTGGAAATAAGAACTCTATGCACAGGAACACTTCATGTAATGTGGAGCAAAAAAACTTCATTTCTTTAGGTCTCCAGCCTCATTTTATGAATGAAAGACTTCCTGAAAGGCTCCTGATAGTCCTTCACAATTGTTTAAATCACCTTTAAGGTATAATTTAGACATCATAACATTCACCACTTAAAAATGTATAATTCGATGTGTTCCGACAGATGTGTTACAGCCATCTCAATCATGATATAGAGCATATGTATAACCATAAAAAGTTCCTGAAGACTCCTTTGCAGTTAATCCCCTCCGCCAAGCTCCCAAGGTAGATCAGTTTCCTATCACTATTGTTTTGCCTCTTGAAGAAAGTTACATAAATGGAATCATACACTGTTATTATGTGAAAGCTACTATCAACATTTGTGGATAGATCTATGTATAGACATGTTTTCATTTTTCCCATGTTAATACCTAGGAATAAAAATGCTCAGACACATGGTAAGTGTATGTTTATATTTATAAGAAACTATCTAAACTGTTTTCTTAAATGGCTATACTATTCTGCATTCTCACCAGCACAAGGGTGACCCAAAAAACCCAGAATTTATTTATAAAAAATTGTGTATTTATTCTTACATGTTTAAATTTCAGTCACTTTCAAAGTACTCTCTGTTTGATACCATATAGCTATCAAGACACTTTTACCATGGCTCAAAACAAGTTTTTGAACTTGTCAGTTTTGATGCCTTTTAGTGCTTCTGCCATTTTTTGTTTCACTCTTCCACATCGGCAACATGTTTCCCTTTGAGAATTTTTTTTCATCCGGAGGAAAAAAAAAAGTCATTCGGGGTGAGATCAGGTGAATAGGGAGGGTGGGGCACCGGGGTCATGCCTTTTTTGGTCAAAACCTGCTGAACACTCAAGGAGGTATGGGCAAATGCATTGTCATGAAGGAAGAACCAGTCACCTGTTTGCCACAACTCAGGATGTTTCTTCTGTAAATCATGATGCAAACTTCTCAAAACTTTCAGATTAAAAAACTTTGTCTGTTGTGGAGGAACAAATTCCAAGTGTAC